TGGTTGGTTGTTGAGTTTATACAGTCAAGTCGATTTTTGCAGATTCTAATGTCTAAGTTCATGCTACTAGTTCAAAAGAACAATGAAAAAAACTGTGCTGGCAGTGTTGCCTCTGCATCTCGTTTGTTTTTTCTTCGTTGTCGCGATAAAAAGGACGAGTACCACCCATTTTGAGACATCTAACATTAGACCAGACCAGCCTAGCCACGCAAACCGCCGAAACAAGTCATTATGAGCGAAAAGCCATGAATATCGTGACAACCTCATCGGGCCACCGCTGGTGCCACCCGAGAGCCTCCCAAGTTCTATCTGATCGCAGTCTAATGCAGTGCCAACTCCACCTCCCCGTCTATCGCATGAAACCACCCGCCACAAGATGCATATCAGAAGTAACCACCGTCAATCCGGCTTTGATGCAAGAGGGAATCGAGATGCTTTTCCGCAACAAAGCATATGAGTTGATGAGAACGGATCCGTGAGGAAACAAGACAAAAAAGATGAAAATGAGTAAAAAGAAACAAAACGCCGACCAAATGCAGTAGGTTTTTTTTGTGAATGTCAAAGCATGCCGCCGCCCGTTGTGCCGATGTTCGTTTGCACAGAAGGTATTCCTGGATCCTCCACCACCGCCGGAAGAGGTTTGAAAAGTCGCGCCATGTCGAGTGTCAGATTCGACACTCCAAAATCCTTGTCGATCTCTCCAACCGATCCCATATCTTCACCCCTAGACGCCCCATCCGACAATACCCATGCCTTCACCGACTTCAATAATTGCATCACCTGCATGAAACGCGCATCCGACTCCATCTGCAGCTCTGATGACCGGGTATGCTTTAACAGGTACTTGGCAAGCCAGTAGAAATGGATGCCGTCCCTAGAGAAACCATACCTACGGACGTTCTTCGCTGATCCAGGAGGAAATTGGTTGACCATGTCGGTATCCCAGTTGGTCTTGAACTTTTGGAGGGCCATGCGGAACGATTCGTGCACATGTACCGGAATGCCCTGCAAAGCGGGATCGACAGGTGTTGCCCTGCCGCTGTTGATGCCGTTATCTGATCCACCATTCACCATCCAGTCACTCATTGGTGGAGTCGCGTAACCCTTCATCACGGCACTACCGTCCAATTGAGCTCGTCGAATCAAGGACAGGATGGCGTGAATCAAGATGAACTTTCCGTAAAGATTCGTTCTGCCTGGCTGAATCTGGTAGGATCCGTGAAGCAAAGCTTGGAGAGCATAGTCCATTTCCGGTTGCTTGCTGCGCCGTGTTCCATTTGGATTCTTTTGCTGTGCCAACTCATCTCCGTGTAAGCCCAGAGCATCCTCGCAATCCTTCTTCGTCCGTGCGTCCCACGCTGCATCATCAGATGGCAGCGGGATGTGCATCTCGAAGCTGTCAAGTTGAGACTGGGCGTTGAAATAAAGTTCCATGGCGGAGTTGCAGAGGAAGATGATGTGCATCAGGCGTATCCGCTTTTCCTGTTCAACCCACACACCCCAATCGAATGTGGAGACATCGAAGTTCTGAGGGGTAAAGTTGCTCTGGTGCAGCGGACTGAAGAGGGGCGTGCTGGTGGAGACCTCCAACAGGCGAAGACGACGAGTCTGCTCCGCCATGGCTGGGAAAATCTCACGAGCGCTCTCACGGTGCTGCGGTGTACTATTCCAGATCAGCAGAATTTGGAGCAGCATCACAGCTTGGAGTTGCTCAAGGTCGCGATGACCGGTACTTGAGGCACCAGCGTCAGCGTTACCATTCTGCTGTTGGCCCACCGAGTTGGCCAAAAACTGCACGTCGCGAACAAGTGCGGACTTGAGGAAGTTCATCATATCGCGCACGTGATCTGGGGAAAGACGGTCAGAGTAGCAGGCGCCCATGCAGCACATGCCAGCCAACAGGCCAGTATAGGCTTCCATGATACGGAAGGTGGGTGTATGGAGAATGGGAAAATGGACATGGAAATGAGTGTACTTTTCCAAGAAGTCGCGTATGTTTTCGGCGGAGAAGTATAGGTTGAAGCCGGCGCTTTCATCGGTAATCGGGGAACCTGGAGGGTAAAAAAAGTTGAGGATCTGGTTGGAGAGATGGGTAAAAGGGTCTTGGATCGATGGCGGCACGTCCCAGGTCGAGAAAAATAGGGAATCGGGGTGGTTGGAGTGGCCAAGCGGACCTTCTGTACTTTCAACGCCGGTATTAGGCTCTGGTTTGGTTGCGATCTGCGTCTGTCCAAGATTAGGGGGGAATTGAGTATGATTTGCGTAGGTTTGTTGCGCACCAGCCTGGAACATTTGAGACCAATCAAGGCCCGATTGTTGGTTCGAGTTCGACCCGCCATACATGGACATTCCATTTTGACCCGGGGGCATATTGTAGTTTTGCATCTGTTGATTCATATTGGGCGTCATGGAGCTAGGGACATTGCCGTTGTATGCCTGCTCGAAGTTGCCACCTCGGCCAGAAGCATCCATGACAGATCCTGTCAAATCCCGTCTGTCTTGGTTACTGCCATTATCAAGCCTAGTCAGGCTGCTGGCGCGCGACAACTGACTCTGATCGTTCGCAAGGTTGCTCATCCCGTCCGACACAGGCATCATACCAAAAGGCTGAACCATGCCATCCGCAGGCATGTTACCCAGACCATTGAGGTGGTTCAGACCGCCATCCTGACCAAGAGCCGCCTTCTGCGCAGCAGCGTTCTTCTTGACATGAGCCTGAGGGTGAGACAAGTGACTAGCACCAGTCGGGTTACCTCGGCGAATGGAACACTTCTGGAAGTGACGCTTGAGAATGTCACTTCGCGAGAAAGTGTCGCGACACAGCACACACATGTAGGGGCGGTCGCCCGTGTCTATTCACAATCCGCGTCAGTAAAGGGACTGAGCTGCGTGAGTTAGTAATGGGTTATGACTTACGGCGCAGAAGATGACGCTTCAAGTGCTTCGCGTGCAAGTAGGTCTTGGTGCAGTGAGGGCAAGGGAACTTGCCATCGGCATCCTTGACCGGGATCACAGTGCTCTTGGTGTTGCCAGCGCCAGCGGGAGTAGCGGCAGGGCGGCCAGGAGCGCTGGGGAGAATGCCACGGCGACCCTGAGAGCCGACAACGTGCGTGGGCTGGTCAGCCTCGCCCATGCCACCGGGCATGACACCGCCGGGGCCGTAGGGAGAGTTCATACCGGGCTGGGGCATGACACCACCAGCAGGCATGGGACGCAGGACAGGAGGAACGCGTCCAGACGCGGGAGCAGGCGCGATGGGCTGCGGGTGAGAAGAAGCCATCGTGGTCTGGGGCAGCATGGACTGAGTGCCGTACGCCTGAGGCGGGGGAGGGTACTGGCCCATCTGCTGGTAGGGACCGCGAGGCTGCTGCTGCTGTTGCTGCTGCTGCTGAGGCTGGTACGGCGGCATGTTGTTCTGGGAGCCCGGAGTGTTGGGCGTCGCAGGAGTGCGAGGTGTGTGAGGGTTGCTGCCGTACATTTGGTTCATGGCGGCGGAGGTCTGCGGCTGCAAAGGCGGCAGAGTCTGGTGAGGCAGCGGGGAGTTGGTGTGCTGAAGTTGATGAGGCGTGATGGCGGGGGGCGACGGGTAGGAGGCCGAGGTCGTGTTTATACCATTGGTAGGGTACTGGGAAGCGTCCATGCTATCCGCGGCAGGTCTGTTGGCCTTTTGTCGAGACAAAGGCGCACAGAGCAGCTTGCTTGTTGCGAGATCGAGACGCGTTCTCACGTCTGTCTTTACGGGACTCGTCGAGGGTCTCGTGTAAAAATTTTGTGGGACAAGGACAGTCAAGTCGCCGACCCAGTTGAGATGATGATGCAAGGGCGAAAAGAGAGGCAAACTCGAGTGTAGTGATGCACAGTCGAGAAGTTCTTCAGGATAAGCTTTCCGCCAGACGAATGAAGGAAGTCGCGAACCCAAAGAAGACAACACGCGCTGAGAGGTGTTGTTTGTAAGGTGGACTTTCTGTGGTGGGATGAGGCTCCAGTTGATCCCGTTTGGAGGTGGTTTTGGGGAGGGTCGGGAGTGGAGCAGATGGGCCCCGATCCTTTTTATTTTTTTTCTCTCGCGTTGCTCTTCGGCAAGAAAAAAAAAAAGCTGTCAGGTACCTGGTGCCGCCGAGAGGGGTGTGAAAGAGGGGTGTGTGAGTGGGAAGGAAAAAAGTGGTCTTGCCGGGGTGGGTGCCGAGGGTGTGAGAGGCAGGAACCGTTGAGCAATGGTCACTCCGTCCAAAGAGGTGGAGGGGGGAAAAAAGGGAAGAAGTGGATTTGGACGTCGCCCCTTCTGGGAGGAGTGGATCCGGCTTGGTCTTGGTGAAGGGCCTTTTTCGGAGAAAGTGTGGGAGGTTGGCCGTTGGTCGGAATCCTGGTTGACGGATAATGGATCGGTAGGTGACGAAGGGAAAGGTGGGCAGGAAGCAGACCAGGGTGGGATGGTGGTGTACCGGTGGATTCTTCTTCCTTTTTGTGCAAGGAAGGCACGAAGGGTAGGATACTCCGATACTGTACGGTATCGATGCAGGTGACTGCGAATGGCAAGTTGCTTGTGTTTCTGCTCGCGTTGTCGAGTAGGTAAAGGCAGGGTTCAACAAGTGCCTCGACTTCTTGGGTGGTAGAATAGAGAAGAGAAGACTTGGCCGAAGCAGAACAAGAAAGTTGGAGGTCACCGCGGTCCAAGATCAAAGCATCTGAGTGAGGTGCGGACGGTATGAAATTTTTGGGGGGGTGTGTGTGGATGCGAAAATGAAAATCAGTGAGGTGGGTGACTTGGAAGGTGTGGGGGACGTGGGAGGGTGACCCGTTTGGCTTCTTTCCTTTTTTGCACTCAATCCACTTTGGGGCTAAGGTAATAAATATCAGAGGATTTGCCGGATTCTTGCCTGTGTGTCCCGTTTCGAGGACTGATTCTCGGTGATGGAATTTTGGTCGAGTCAGAGTCAGCCGTGCCGTCAAAGAATAGGTAAGCGGCAGATTGATGACGAAGACGAACAAGAGGGCAGGGCTCAATGGACAGAGAAGAAGTGAGAGGTGGCAGGCAAAAGGCAGGAAATTCCGAAAGAGAAGGAAACTTTACTAGGCACACCTACACGCAGAAGGAAGAATAAATTACGCAGACAGCCCAGGACCGCGCAAAAGAAGGAGAGAGACGGGAAGAGACCGCGCGACGAGACGACAACAGCTGCGCAGCAAGCCAGGAAGGTACAAGCACCCATGTTCCGTCCTGATTTCCAAGGGCAGTTGAGAAAATTTTGAGGAAGCGCCTGCCAATGCCTGCGTCTGCCTGGGCACGCCTGCCTCGGAGACCCGACGTTCGATGTACACAGGGCGAGCACTGTATGGTCAGATCTACGGTGTATGCCCGTAGTAAACGCAGAGACGAGGCCCTTGAGGAATACCTGAGGTACGCGATTCAAGAGACGGTGGTGTGTGCTGGGAAACAAGACAACACGGGAGGGAATGGGAGAAAAAGGTGAGGTAATGCGAACTTGGGTGCTTGGTTCGGTCGACGTCCATTGTGCAGGCGAGTGTCAAAAATCGAACTAGCTACACCTAGTAATCCATTCACGTCTGTTCGCCTGAGGAAGGCGGTACGGAACAAGATACCTGGCCGAGGGAACCTGTCAGTATTTGCACAGGGTTCACGCCTACCGTTACTCTGGTCTGCAACAGGGCGGTGACGCGAACCCTTTTTTTCATTTTCCTCTCGACCTGAGGTGCACCCGGTATCGCAGCTACCTTGGAATAAGGTACCTCCTCAACCACCGTCTTTCCGCTGCTCATGTCTGGAACGGGTAGGTATCTACGCAGGAGGTAAGCCTGCGTGCGGTATCACCTTAGTTTGGCGCTTCACAACCTAACGAGAGGGAGATGACTGGGAGAGAGGAAGTAGAGGTTGACGGGAGAGAGAAACAGGCATAGCATTGTCAAGGCCTGCATTAGATCGACCGGGCTATGCACTGCTATATTATTATGCTCGACGCTGCCATGTTCCCCTTGACTATAAACGGTCGGATGCACATCATCTTTTTTTCTGTGCGCTCTTTTCTAGTTACCTCACCTCACCGTATCTACATCGTGACTGAGTAGTGCATACCTAGGTTGGCGAGTAATGATCGAATGGTTTAGTTGGTATCGAGTCACTTGTCTCACCGTCTGCTTTTACCGTAATATGAGTCTAATTCCCCGAGCAATGCTACATGCCTCGCGGTAGGTTCGTTATTAAACGCTGATCCAATCCTCCAGGGAAACCCTCCCCTCGATGGTATCTCATGACTTCAGCCTTCATAGCTCCAAAAAGGAAAAAAGGAAGAACAAAAAAGTCGCAAAAACAAGGACGGGACATTTAAACTTTCTCATCATTACCATCCAGATGACAGCCTTTTGCACGATTTCAGGGAGGTGAAGGCGACAGCAAACAGGCCGGTACCTTGGTGGTTGGTACATGCAGAGTTCCGTACGTTTCTTCAAGACGGTTCTCCTGCGGCGGTATCATGCCATGCCAACCATGCCGTGCTAAGCCAAGGTAGTAGCGTCTGTCTGTCCGCCTTCCTTGCTTAAGATGCCCTGCCCTGGCGCTTGCCATGTCTTTCTATTGCCAGTTTGCCGTGAGCATGGGCGGAAAGAACTCCGCATCCGCACACCTTCCTGAAAATGAAACCGCATTTGAGCAAAAGGCCTGGCACGCTGGCTCACTGCACCTGCACCACTGTGTTGTGTCGTGTCGCATTGGATTGGATTATATCGTAAGAGCCTGAGGCGATTCCAGCGAGGGAAGGCACAGTACGGATATTCTTCGTGGTTTCGTACTCATCGTCCGTACTTCTTACTCGATGCTAATCTGTGCCTGCCGAGCATTTGTGGCTCCTTCCTTGTCAACGGGGAACATGAATTTGCTCGAGTCTTGTCCCGGTTTTATTTCCCTTCTTCGAATTCTTCCAATACTTCCATGACCCCCCCTTTTTTTTCCCCCAATTCCTTTGGTCCCCGTCCTGGTTGTCGTTCCTCGTGCGTCTTTGCCCCGAACCAGCAAGAAAGCATCCACCACCCTTCCCAGCCCCCGGGTTCGGTATGAGTACGTCTCGAGTTGGTAGGTACTCTGTGTACGAAGTAGAACATTTGCCCTAGCCAGACAGCCGAGTGACCCTACCACCACCATTCCCGCCATGTATCCGACCCAACTAAGATGGCTAGAGATCCATCTTTACACAGTAACTCCCCCCCTCCCTCGGGGCCTAACAGTGAACAACGTCCACCATCGCACCTCAGAAGTTACCTTGCTTCCTACCTTAGGGTCCACACGCCCCGAACTATCCCACCTGGCACTACCGCTGTGCCGCTGTGGTTCCCACGCTGACACGTTGCTGGCGGTGTCATTCAGTGGCTTCTTCCCCCCAAAAAGAGACATGCCCTGTGCAGACTGCAGCATGCACTCCCGCGAATGTGGTCCTAGTCTCCCACGACCATGCTCCTCTCGATTACCGTCAGCTGGAGTAAGTGGCCTGTAAGGTAGGTATGGCCCACGGGTACGATGGATGGTGAGGTTCCTTCCCCAAACCCAAGGAACATACGAAGTACAGGTGAAGTATCCGCCAGAAGGAGCAGCCGCCCGCCCGCCATCTCGACCCCTCCTCGTCCCGTCTCGTTACCTTACGCCGTCACCCCCCAAAAAAAGACCCCTCCCCTCCCCAACTCCCGTTTCTTCATCATGAGGATACCGTACGTGCGTGGGTGGATTCCGGGTTGGATTCCACCTGCAGGCCAGCACGCGCCAGCAGATGTGATGAACCCTTATTCTTGTCTTAATGCTGCCAATTGCACTTCAACATATCATACTATATCGTGTCGCTCTCTCATCACCACCACAGCCAACGCACAGTTACTCGAAACAGCGTTGTCATCCTCTCGGGGTTCTGCTAGCTTTCCGTATCTCGGCCTTCCTTGGATGCCGCCCGGCTGTTTTCTTGTTACAATGCACTTGACACACCCACGACACACGATACACGCGGTTGAATCGCTCCAATTCGTCTTCTGGCGGCCTTTCCTACACCCAAAAGCCGCCGGGGAAACACTAATCATTACGTCAACCCCTGCTAATCCTATCATCAGCGCGAGCTTCGTCGCTCATTCACATTGCTGACAACCTGGACTATCCATGTCGCACCGCCTAGGTGGCCACACAATCATCAAAATTATCTTGGACGACACCCACACGAGCTCTCATCACCGACATTGACCATCCAGACAGATTACAAACCATGCTGCTACTCTGTACAGTACGCACGGAAAACCCGCCGCTTCCAACGGTTCATGGCCATGGGTGTCCTTCCAATTGGACAAGGTAAACCTCTCTGACCATGCTCGCCCAAAATTGATGAGACGATTGCCAACCCTGCAAGCGTCACGACCGCCGCACGCGAATCGACGTGGTATCGTTACTCTGCACTGCTGCAGTCCGGCCACGGCACGCTCAATGTATGGGTACCTGAAAAGGGCAGGGCAGGGTAGGGCACCTTGCTGCCCACTGCCTTGCTCGCCGCCTCGAGATCCGAGGTACCCGCCAGCTGCATCCTACGAGGGTCTGCCCCTGCTCTGTGGATGCACCAACCATGCAGATGCTCGCTGGGCGTGGGATACTGGGCGGCATTCAGACCTATCTTCTCATTCGGGAACTCCTCTTGGCAGCACCTGCTGTCTGTCTGCTGCAGAACAAAAACACGCGTCAGGGATGTGGCTGCATACGCGGTACATTAAAACCGCGCACAAGTCAACCTTGATATTATCCTCCTAGCCGTACGGATATACAGGCGATGGTCGGCTCGTTCTGACATCCCGAGTGTGCAGCAGCAACAGCCTGCACGCGAAAGAAATAAGAAACCCTTGGAGTGGTCAGGGAAGCATGTCCGGTGGCCGGAGTGCGGACGAGCTCCGAGCGGCCTACTCGACATATGGGTCGACTCAATCTTGACAGTCCAATGCGGCCGGCATCACGCCGATTGCACAAGTACGGATACATCACGACGATGTACGAATAGCGGAAAGCGGAGTCCTCGGGGCCGAGTACCGACGAAGACACTATGAACCTCCACGCCAAGCGTTATCAACGAATCTCCTGGCCTCCAAGAGCATGCAGGGTCACGCTGCTACGAACACGAATCGTCTGGCACCGTCGAGAAATAGATGGGCGATGGCTTCTGATGGGCTAGACAGGAGCTTACACTACTCTGAATGATTCGCTACGGCAGTTCACAGCAGGCGTAACCGCCGCACCCTCCCAGTCATCACACTTCCTTCACTTTGGCAGTATGACGTATGTCAAAATTCTTTGGCATGTTCTGTTGAGGGCAATGTTCGGACACCAGGACCGAAGCGTCCCAATCACACTCTATATTCGTACTGTGCAACACGGAGGGCAGCCAGCAACAGGATCAACCGCGGTGAGCTGCCCAGCTGTCAAGTTTTGCCAGCTGTCCCTGCCACTCCGTCTGTTTTGTGCACTTACTGATTGCAACAAGCATGAATCAATTTGGTATAGCCACTCGGGCTTCGCGAGTTTACCGTCACCTATCGTCCAAAACTACTGTTTCGAGCCATCATGCTATCCAGCCTTGGAATTTCACGATAGTCCAGCAGCGGCAGTATCAATCATCTTGGGAGCAAGGCAACCCCTTGTTCGTCGAGCTGAGCACCCGAGTCCAGAAATTCTATAGAACATACAGAAACCCAGTGGTTCGACGGCTTTGAACTAAGGAGGCTGGGCAAACCTTGCTACCACGCTACTTGTCCTGGGTTTTCCGGTCCTGTCCCAGGGGGAAGGGGCCAGCGTACGATAATGAAAGATTAGGACAACCGCCGGGAAAGCTCTTGATGATCAGAAGACACAATATCAAGGTCTGCTGTCCATTTCCCTTGGCGCGCTCATGGCGAGGAGCCAAGGTATAACTACGGTTCCATGTCTTTCTTGGCATAACGATACGGAAAGGCCAGAAGCAATATCGCGCACAATCACCCGTTCTATGTACAGTATCGCAGAGTAAATCCCCCACCGGTCCAGCGGACGAGTAATTGCCGTCAGCACATGGCTATGTATTCGTACCTCTTTATGCCGCCTCTCCAGACATACTGTGTGCGAGGAACACAAGGCTACTGTTACCTCATGACGGATGTTGGGGGATGTTGTGCAGGATCCACGAGTCAAGCGAAACGGCTCCAAAACATACATTTCCGTGCAAGAAAATCGGACTTTGGCCGAGTCACCGCTTCGCTGTCAGCAATAGTCGCCTATGTCCGATCGACCGTCTATTATGGCGCCCGCCTGTCAAACGCCGGCTAGTTTTCGTGGCATCAGCGCCGAGGTTGAGAAGAATGAGTCGAAATGCACAGGCACCGCTACTAAAACGATTGTCTAAAACATGTCTACTGTTGTCGGTTCAATCATCAGTAGTTACAGCATGGACGTTTCTTTTGGATGCCCCAAAGAAGAGCCAGAAGAGCCTCACGCCCCATCTCTACCCGCGCCCGCCATCCAATGGGCATCTTTCGCATCACTTTCACAACGGGACGGGGCCATCTCAGATGATGGAGAACGGGGCACAGAGATCGATCTCACTGGACCCATCTCAGCCATGACCACAGACTCCTTTTGTTGCGGGCTGCGGATATCAGAAAGTGACAGCTCGATTGACGTCGTGACATGGCATGCGAAGAGCCCAAAAAGAATGTTCAACTTTGGCAACCCAGTCCAGCATTCCGCGACGTGACTCGACACGACACATGTCGCATACAGCGGAAATGCTTTTTTCCCCTGAGAGTATCGACGTTGGTTTCCGTTTGGGCGCGGTACTTTTTGCTGGCTCGAGAGCAAGCTCGTTCACTTGTACTGTGCAATTCAACCGTAGTACATACACCCACTACGCAAGCTTCCCCAGCCACTCCGACTACATCAGTTTACAGGGATACACGAAGTCCAGAAAAATTGCAGGACCCGAGAACAATCCTGATTCCTCAAACTGCCTTCCCCTTCCGACTCTCTTCTGCCTTGGGATACGAGAGTGTGTTGATCAGACACCACATCACGCGGTCGTCAATTCGAAGTCCGAATCACAAATGACACGACGCTGGCTGGGGGCCGTAGTCGGAGACGCTGCTCTTCACCGTGCATCTTCAGCACCATCTACAGTGCACGGTTGGGGGGAGCTGCTAGCAGTAGTCGCCTGAGAAAGTTGGAGGCTTTGCTGAGCTGGTGGCCAACTTGGGTAACGAGGTTGCAGCGCAAGAAGTAGCGACTTAGGTACCAGCCAGTACGCAGACTATACCCGGCTCTTCGGCATAGCTCATTCACATTCAGCTACCTGGCACCAACCCCTCCTCACACCCCAGGCTAGGTGGCGTCGCTGGCCGCATTTCTCTGAACGCGAGGCACGCCGTGGTACGCATTGGACAGCTCGAGAATCGTGGGACGATGACGCTCGAGCACGGTGAAGTGAGGGTCCACGGCCCCATTCAACCCTTCTTACCGGTATTCCAAGTCCCCATTATTCTCTTCTAGAAGCACAGGATCCGGAAGCTTTGGCCATATCTCGAGATTCCATCATCAAGATGTACGACTTCGATAACTTGACATCAGACGGTGGCGCTGTAATTTTCCTCAATCCTGATGTGTTCCAAACTCTGTTGCAAGCCAATTCTTAGTGACGAATCACTCACGCCACGCTTGCATCATAAGCCCTGGGAGGGTGCAGAGATTTTTTTGTGTCCGAACTTCCCCCGATCGAGAGGTATGCTTGCCATGGGATACTTCAGGACGTCGTGCTTTGGCCTGGTTCCGGCATCAAGGTTCAAAGGAGAGGAAAGCAGAGAACTCGCAAGAGGCTTGGCTTGTAGGCCGGGAGCGGAGAGATATCCGACAGTTACAAACGCCACGAAGCGGCTTCCGTCCGACGCTCCTACCGTGTCTACCGGTACCACTATGGAGTCACTGTTCCGCGTGCAAGCTGTGAGCATTCTGCCATCATCCATGTGCGAATCTCGCGTCCGCGATCGACCACCACCTCACACCTAGCTCCGAACAGCACCACTTCTCTCCCGCTGGCATATGGCGACCAAAGCTTATTGCCAGCCTACAATCGGCCGAGAGAGATGACAAATGTAACTGGTTACGGTCTAGCTCGATCAAATTGGGAACTCATGTCCGCTAATCTTGTGTGACGAAGCTACGATGCGACGAGTCCCACGCTGTATTCGCGGCCCCCAACAAGGCTGCAACGACTACTCTCTCAACGTGAGGGAAGGAAGAGACTGACAGCATCGCTCAGGTCGTGGAAAAGTCGAGTGAAGGCGGGCTCTCTCCGAACTGCAACAAATATCCCAGCTGCGACGGCTTGGGTCATGTTACAGGTACATTGGGATGCGCAAATTGCGTACCATTAGGCGATAGGTGTTGCTACGCGCACAGCGAACGAGAACCGAAACCAGAGCATCTCCTTGCGGCAGATCCCTGAAAGACGACTCGGGGTTTGCTTCGTGAGGTAAACCGATGCTGAGTTGTGGCTGGCGATCTCGACAGGGGTTCGCGTCAGTGCCTCGGTCTGATGGAAGTCCCGTCCTTCGGATCAACTCATCATCGTTTATTCAGCTACCAGCGGTTTGTCGCGCCAGAGAGAGAGAGAGAGAGAGAAAAGCCCTGCTGGCCAAGTTCTTCCAGCAATGGCAAGTGTAGGCGCCTCAAGTTCAAGGTTGCTGGAATCGATCTCACTCTCGAAGGGAGTTGCGGTCTTCCTCCAGCTTGAGCGGTAATTAGCGCACGCTCGCGGCTGACAGCGTGTTTTTGGTCGTACGTTCAAAGAACCTATTCATGAATTCTCCGCCTCCTGCTATCCATTACTTCGGTTTGTGGATGGTATACTCCGTACAACGGTCGTCCAGCCTTCTTTGCGGGGCATGTGGTTCTAGCAACCTAGTCCCTTTGGTGTTCCTGGAGGAGGCTGTCTTGGAGTTGGAGATTCATCAGCAGCGGGATCTCAAGCATCTTCATCAGGGAGTCGGGACCCTCCATTCGAAGAACAAGCGCGTTCTCGGTGGATCTTTTGGCTGGTCTCCCGCGTGGCTTCAACAGAGTTGAGGCTGTTTTGCGGTTCCCCTGAAGACTCCACCGTCAACCACCACCTTGCGTCGAGATGGCAGCCGCAGGCCTAAGCTGAGAACCCTACTGCTGTGCGGCACAAGCTCGATAAGACTGATGTTCTCGCGCGGAGGTGTTATCTGATTTCATCTGCCCCAACGCCCTGGCCGGACTTCAGAACGGCGGAAATCGCCGTCGCATACCATACCCTTATTGACCGCCATTCGCAGAGAGGCTGGCAGATTTCGAGACTACCTAAACAATCAAATGCACGCCGCGCAGGTCTTGCAAAATGACGAGCAGGGGTGGCTTTTTTCCCTTACCTGACGCGAGTCATGATGGATAACTACGTCAACAGATCGCGACGCTTCCGACCTTTTGTTCTGTACTACACTAGGCGCAGACGTTACGTTTCCTTTCTATCAACCCACTAATGGAGAGAATTCTAGCCATCCGTGAGTTGGCTTGTCACCGTCACCAAACTACCATACACTATCAAGCTCTGACTCGCTCGTATCCGAAGGACAGCTCGGAAGCCGTGAGCCCATGTCCATCCAGTTCCGCTCAGCGGAAGTACGTACTCACAAAAGTGCCGGCCGGGAATCCCAACTTTTTCGCTAGTCAGGCTTTGACACGAGCAGGTGTGTTTCCTGCTCCAAATACCCCTCACGAGGCCTTTGCGAGTTGGCGGTACGGCGACACCCTGGGATCGCTCCATCGAATCAGGGTCTTTGCCTGCTCGATTTGGCACAGTGCTTCTAGTGCAGCTGGATAGGATACCAGGCCGCTTGAGTCGACAAGTCGAAATATCCCCGAGATTACAAGGATTAGGAAACCAGTCATCTTGCAGCGACAGCTGGACCAAGACGCTACGAACACAGCTGGCATGGAAGCATTTGTTCCCGTCGACCGCGCCCTAACGCAGCAGTGACAGCGTTGGTCAAATAGCAAACCTATCGTCTATTTCCGAGAAAGACGCCGTGGCCGCTGCCGCCGCCGCCGCTACTTGTTCAGCAGAGACAGACCTTCGGCTACATAGGCTCACGATCACTCAGTTGCTTTGGATAACATGGCGAACCATGACGAGGTCGCGTCAAATCTCCACCTCGAACAGCAGACCCACGATAGTCCACGTGGGAGCGGTATGCGAACCCATGCCCGACCGTCTATGAGAGGTTGAGGCAATTCCTTCTCGAAAATTCGTTACGTACGGTTACACAATAGTTATGCAAGCATCTGAAGGGACACACGTCGCTAGGTGGCCACACCACTCACTCGGCGCGGTTACTTCTAAGCTGAGGCCTGAAGCTGAGTAGGGCTGCCCTGTGCCACACCACTCCAAGACGCCCCTATCCGTACAGTGTACGGTATAAGCGAATCGGTTCGGGTTTGTGCCAGCAAGCAGAATGCAGTTATGCCCTGCACCGGGACAGACTTGTAAAAGCAGGGCTTCTGCCGGCTCCAAGTGGGGGGGCAGTCGGGGGGCCTGTTTTTCGAGTAACTGGCGCGAGAAGCGTCGGGAATGCAGCTCGTCTGATCTGTCGTTCGGGTCATTGTCTCCAGCTCCAGCCTTGCTTGTTTCATTTGTGGCTGCGATGGCTAAGAGATTGAGGGCAAATTCGCAAGCCCTATCTGTATTCCGTGTTGCAACTTTGGGGCACCGTGCAGAGGTGAAGTAGCCTGCCGGCGAGGTGAGCCATGCGTCTCCCTATTTCGGCAGGCAAGGGGATCGTAACAATATCGACGATGGATGTTCCTGCAATATCAAATTGTCATTTTGAATGGCAGGCAGCATCTCCGGTCCGTGGTTTGAAGGGCGCCTCACGTCCGGGATGTGCAACTCGGAAGCCCTTCACGACTCAGTCAAGCCTAGGTATGACGACAGTCTTTGAGTTAAAGGACCGACTGATTCAACATGCTTCGATATGACATCTCGGCCGGGTGCCGATCATGGAGCTTTCGTCAAGTTCATCTCGCCAGCGTCGGCCAATCTCACGGCTTTGAAGGGACGACTCCTGACCAGCCTCAACCCCGGGTCCCACGGCCGTGTATCACAATCTTTTTCAACGACGCGGTCCTCTTCCGGGTGGGTCCCCCGCGGGTTGCGGAGGGCTTGCGGACTTTTTTTTCTAGCTGTGAGAGATTGGAAGCAGCGTTGCAGTACGGATATCTATCTCAAGATGCAATTGCGTCATTTGCTAACAGTTCACGACTCAAGTAAATTCGACAGAGGGTCTTGCAACTTGTCAAGTCAGATTGACGTCATAAGCAGTAATCGTGATCTTGGGTCTGGACTTTTATGCAGCCGTCACAATCCTTATGAACGACTGAGAACTACAGAGACGATGCCAACGGTCGAGCGCACCCGTTCCGCGTTCCGCCTCTCGTTGTAGTTGACAATTGCGGTTCCGCTTGCGGCAACCATCAATGCGCAACTCCAAGAACAGCCATCCTTGACAGACCCGGAGGCGGCGTTCTACCGGACTTTTAACCAGAAGATAGACTACGTCTATGAATTGGGAGATGAGCTCCGGTCGCAATGCCCGTATGCGAGATTGGCCGCCATATCTTGACATAGGTTTTAGTCGCTCTCAAACTTTCACGTGTCTATGAACTCTAGCATTCTTCAAACTATCGTCAAGAAACCCGGCCAACCTGCCTCGCGTTGTGCAAAGAACGAGAGTTACATGGAGATTGTTTAGGGGAACCCAGTTCGCTCTGGAGTACTCCGTATCGATACACATTGTGAACAATACGCAGCATTGCCATGGCATGACTGTTTCGGGAACTCCCCGGCCGACATACGTAGTACGCGCAATGGCCTGGCAACTAACCACGTAGAATGGCTTCTGGCGATCGGATTGGGGGAGGGAATGCAGCAGAGACAAGACTATGAATTGTTCTAGCCGAAACAGAACCCCTATTCTGTCGCATCAAGGAGCGCAAGACGAGTACGCGCACCGCCCTAGTAAGGGTTAAGGGAGCAAGGGCAGCACGTCCGGCGGCTCTCCTCGAAACAGAACTTCTAATTCGGGATTCAAGGTGAGGGCAGACCGCTTTCGAACTACAACGTATCACACCGTACACTCGTCGGTGATGGGTAATACTGTAAGGATGTCTCCTGATGCGTTTTGTTGCGCTCAGTGTTGCTGCTATCCGCTATTTCCGCCGCATGAGCGTTGCTAGCGCTTGCCACGACCAGTTTCGCCCCTTGCGACGAAGCACAGTAGTATTCGTGATTTTTTTTGACAACCGTGACAACGTGGATATGTCAAGCCAGACGCTAGAGCTTCGATCGAGCGTTTCCAATGTTCTAGAGGCGAGGCTATGTTGCGCTATATGCTTTCGAGACCCGCACATGCCGCGTACCGGGCACAAGCCGGATGAGAAAATCACACACAAAAAAAAAACAGCACCTGGCACTTGCATTGTGGACATCCCGGGGGAGGAGACTGAAAGGGAGGAGGTCCATACGGATATCGGACGACGAGATAGTCTCTCGCGTCGACCACAGTTGCCGATTCCCCGACCTCATTCGAGATTCCCCAGTTCAACGTGCGAGCCTGTAGTTCCTTCAGAGGGCCGCAGGCGGTTGTTGCCCCTTTGCTCTTTGACCGGGCCCCCGGTGTTCATAGAAATCGGTGGCACGGGTGGGTAGGTGAGAAGCGGTCGCCACTTGACAAGGTTATGTGGAAGATATGTGGAAGGCTGGAGGCTCTCCGGCTTTCGTTGCAAATGGGCGCACTTTTTTCTGCTAGGCGCCTGGGCTGCTGGGATACTGAGATTCTGGAATGCCGCATGCGAGGTATTATGTGGTTCTCTGGCACTCTGGCACTCTGGCAGTCTGTCTAGTGTACGGAGTAGAGACTCACATATTGGATTGTGAGTCTCTCTCTGTGCGATTACCGAGCGAACTAACTGTGTGTGCCTGTGTCTGGTGTTTTTTTCCCTGCCTCTTGTTGAGGCTTGTTTCTGCATGACGGACCGCGTTTTTGTGGGTTTTCGCGCGGCCCCTTGGGTGATGTCTCGGGGGTGTTCTGCCGCGTGAAGGGGGGCAAGGCCAAGCACATGGGCAAGGGAATGAACCGGAGCAGACGAAGACACAGAGAGAGAGCACGGTCACGGGGTCACGAGCAAGGAAGGGAGGGGGTGCGCCCATGTTCGAGACGACGGAGGAAGTGAACGGTTGAGTTTAGTTCAGGTATTGGAGGAATTCTGGATTATCTCGGGTAGTACAAGAGACGAGACGAGACGAAATGGATGGGTTGCTTTTCTTTTTGGTCTGTTCTTTGGTGGTCATTTGGAATCTTGAACGGTTATTTGGTCGGAGATTTGAGTGTTGGTCAAGACGTGAGGAAGCTTTTGTGGGAGATGAATTTGCGTTTTGCGACTCAAGTCTTTGACAACTGAGTCTGAGCGAACATTGCAGAGAACATACAAAAGTTACGGTGGGTTTCGATGGGAGTGTGTAAACCTATGCGTGTGAATCGCGATATCGACATTTGAATATGGCCAAAAATCAGAGTTGAGAGCAGTATTCTTTCATCACCGGAAACGCCCCGTATCTAACTGCGCTCTGTGGACTCTATAGTCTTGAGTGTAAAGAGCACTGAACATCAAGAGGCAGATTCTCTCTCGGTGGAATTACGGATATACGGACTTAGCGTTCACAGTGTGTGACTGTGTACGAAGTATGTATATCTGTTTTGTCACCCGACTCCTTTCTCTCGGTGTCTCCTCTCACCCCCTTCTTGACCGCCGTCTCGGTGTTTTGCTACGAACTAGGCTATATGATAGGGGTGTGTGTGGTTCACGATCGTGACCTCGCCTTACCTCATCCTCGAAAAAAAAAAAAACCGCGTGACTAAACCGTGTGTCCACCGCCCTTCGGGTTGGGGTCAAGGGAAAAGAGGGGTAAGGTAATGCTGGTGAAAATTCTGCAACGCGTCTTGTTTTTTTCTTATGTTTCTCGTGACTTCCAAGACTGGTTGGGAGAAAGAGGGAGAAGTGACACGGTAGTTAGCAAGCAATCTTGGGAAGCAAATTCGGAGTCTGGCGGGTGACGAGGTCATGATGCGTTTTTGGTGAAGAAGCAACGAGGGGGAAGGTGACGTTTGATGGAGATGGAGGCGGGCGACTGGTTAACGGAGACATGATCACCTTCTTTGTTGTTTTATATCAATATTGAAAGTAAAAAGTGAAGAAGTACGTGTATATATCCCGAATATAAAAGTAGGTTTTTATAGCAAAAGATCATTGACCAGCCTGGGGGTCGAACCCAGAATCTCCTGATACCTATATTCTCCCACATGTACTCGTACAGCCAGAGCCGCACGATTTAGTAGAAAGGGTCGTAGTCAGACGCCTTGCCATTGGGCCAACCGGCCGTTCGTTATTGGAACGTGATAGATCTGTCGCGGGATCTGAATTTGTGTGGTCCCCTTCGCGGAGGTGGGTTGATCTTTGTGGGCTTTGTGTTTGTGGACTCGAAGGTGGGCGCGCCGCCGGCACGGGAGGATTCTCTGGTGGTGAACGGAGTGGACCGTGGAGGGACGGGAGGGGATGTGGACTTTTCTGATGGAGATCTGCTTGGTTTTAAGTTATGGGTGATTTGATGGATATCGTGGAGGATGTGCGTTTTGGTCTTGGCTTGAGGTCCCAGTTAAACCACATGAAGTTGAAAGTTGCGTGTGGGAAGATCACGAGGCTGTGATCATG